CAGGGTGTTGGAAGGAGGAATAACAAGGGCGAAGGGGAAGCGGGTATCAGTCGGGATGCGACGATGAAAAGGGATCCAGATGTTGCCAGCGGTTCCACACACAAAGCTTTTCCCATGACCAAAGAAAACAGAGAGAAACCTCAAGCAGCTCGCAGCGTGGGTTGTTTTGGGGGTTCCCCCCACCCTAAACCCCCTTTGTTTTCCCTGGTTCCTGAGTTACCAAATGCTCTTGCCATTGAAAAGTGATTAAAAGGATAAAGCTTCCCTCTCAGAGCTTGTCGCCTTCTGGATGGCCACGTGCTGCATCAGGTCTCCCAGGCGGAGCTGCGAGTTGAGTCTGGCTGCTCTGTGTACCGGAAGCATTTTGATGTGCAATATTAGAAAGAAACAAAATATATATATTATATTATTTAAAGCAACAAAAAAAAAAGAAGAAAAAAGAAAAGAGAAAAAAAAATATATAATAAACTAGGTTCCTCCTTTCCATGTTTAACCAGCATCCCTCCTCATGCGCGGCGCTGGGATAAGGGAGAGTCCCGATGCCGAGTAGGGGGGAATGGAAGGAGGAGAGGGGAAGAGATTGGTGCTAAAATAAGAGAGAGGATGGGCTCGTCTGCTTTGTTTCTACCTCTCACTGTGAAATCTCTGGTGCTCTTAACAAAGTGTCTTGTTTTATATATATGACTTTATTTAAAGTTGTGAAGGTGCTACCGTGTCGTGCCACAGACCCCCAGTATAGAACCCCATGGGACCGCCTCTCTATGAAGAGGGGATGAGGTGATGCTCCATAGATAAATCAGGAAACAGCCACCTCTAAAGGGATCCTTTAGTCCCCATGGATGCCAAAAATCACTTGTTCAAAGGGTGTTTTCAAAGCAAATTGGATTGTTTTAACTTCTGGTTCATCAGCACTTCACTGCTTTGGGAGGGGAGTGAGGGCTGCAAGCCCTGAGCCTCAGAGAGAGCTGTATTTGAGTCCCGTTATCATGCAACTCCCTCTGCTCTAAGCTCGTGTTCCCTGGTCTAAGGTCGTATTTAACCCTTCGGTCTGGCCCCTCTGCCAAGACTGCCGCCGTGGTTCCTTGTTCCAGAACCCAGCCGGGCTTGGAGGGGTTTGGTTCTGTTCAGTTTTGTAGAAAATTTTAGTCTTTATATGTAAATTTGGAGGATTTTTTTCTTTTGTTTGGTTTTTAAAGAGGTTAATTATGGTAATCTTTAATTCTATATAAGGAATAATATTGATGTAATCGGAGCCGTACTGTATCAGAAACGCTTCAGCGCCTGGATGGAGTTTTCGTGTCTCTTACGGACTATGGATTTTATTTTTTTGAGGAAAAATAAGAAAAAAAGAAGTTATTTGTGAGTCTCTTTGTGCATTCATTCCCCATTAACTACTGCCTGCTGGTGGCTTCCCAACAGCCATCGGAGAAGGCTAAACCACATCGGCCCCATATACCTCACCCTCCACGCAGCCCTGCCTTGGCTCAGGAATACCTCACCCTAGGGGCTGGCTCGCCCCGGTACCCCCAGGCTGAAATCACCATCACTCACTGCCCGCTTGCTGCCTTCCCCTGCACACACACACACAACCCCTGGGTTTGTCCCTCTGTTGCCATCAGCTCCTGTTTGTTCTCATTAAAGCTTGTTTTTTATATTTTTTTTTCTTTTTTTAATTTTTTTTTTGGACTTTTAATAAATATTTAAAACTGAGGCAATGAAACGGGGCTGCTGTGGGTTTATTTGCTTCTTTGTGGGAAGATGAATGGGCAATGAGGGCAGAAAAACTCCACTCTTGAGCATGATAACATTGACAGCCCTGGGGAGCCTGCAGCCCTCAGCGGGATGCAGGATGCAAATGCACAAGGCTGGGATGCTGATGGCTCCCCACTGCTGTGCATCACCCCCCAAAGAGCAGCTCTGCTCTGGAGCCAGGCTGAGAGAGCTGGGCTGGGGCAGCCTGGGGAAGAGAAGGCTCCTGAAGGGGAGACCTTAGAGCAGCTCCAGTGCCTAAAGGGGCTGCAGGGAACCTGGAGAGGGGCTTGGGACAAGGGATGGAGGGACAGGCCAAGGGGAATGGCTTGAACCTGCCCGAGGGGAGACTGAGCTGAGCTCTTAGGCAGAAGCTCTTCCCTGTGAGGGTGCTGAGGCGCTGGCACAGGGTGCCCAGAGAAGCTGTGGCTGCCCCATCCCTGGCAGTGCTCAAGGCCAGGTTGGACACAGGGGCTTGGAGCAAGCTGCTCCAGTGGAAGGTGCCCATGGTTTGGAGCTGGATGAGCTTTGAGGTCCCTTCCAACCCAAACCATTCCCTGTTTTCTGAGGCTAAGCTGCACTGTTTAAAATCAAAACACCCCCTGCACAGTCTCCTTCCTCTTCCCAGCGGTGCCAGTGTCCTGTGCTGCCAATGCCAGCCCCACAGCACGATCATGGGGCCCTTTAAGCTGTGAAACTGGGGTTTTGTCCTTTCCAGCTGAGCTCCCTGTTGTGCACTGGTAGCCTTGTGGTGCTTGTTGCTTGTCTCATCCTAGTGCTGCAGAGATAAAGGGGCTTTTGGGCTGCGGATGCTGTTAACACACACAGCTGATGAATTACTTACCATAGAGTAATTAATTACTGTAAGTAATTAAAGCAGGCTGAAATAACTGTTAAGCAAAGCCTGGCTGGGGATGGGGCAAAAACAGGGAACAACCAATGCAGTGGGTTTGGGCTCTTAGCAGCGTTAAGACATTACACCCCCTTTGAAGGCAGGATCTCTCTGCAAGTGGTTTTGTTTGCTCCAGTCCCGACCTCACAATGGAGCGCAGTGATTTATGCACGGGCCGTGTTTGCTGTGTCCCTGCCCACAGGAGCTGTGTGTGACCGGATCACACGGGTCAGGCCAAAGCTGACCTGGCCCCAGCACCCATCGCACTGCACCCAGCACCCCGCACCCCGCACCCAGCACCCAGCACCCAGCACCTCGCACCCATCACCCCGCACCCTGCACCCATCACCCCGCACCCAGCACCCAGCGCCCCACACCCTGCACCCCGCACCCAGCACCCAGCACCCAGCACCCAGCACCCCGCACCCAGCACCCAGCACCCCACACCCCGCACCCAGCACCCAGCACCCTGCACCCAGCACCCAGCACCCAGCACCCAGCACCCAGCACCCAGCACCCAGCACCCCGCACCCCGCACCCAGCACCCAGCACCCAGCACCCCGCACCCAGCACCCAGCACCCCACACCCCGCACCCAGCACCCAGCACCCAGCACCCCGCACCCAGCACCCCGCACCCCGCACCCAGCACCCAGCACCCAGCACCCCGCACCCAGCACCCAGCACCCCACACCCCGCACCCAGCACCCAGCACCCAGCACCCAGCACCCTGCACCCATCACCCAGCACCCAGCACCCCGCACCCAGCACCCCGCACCCAGCACCCAGCACCCTGCACCCATCACCCAGCACCCCAACCCAGCACCCAGCACCCAGCACCCAGCACCCAGCACCCAGCACCCTGCACCCAGCGCCAGCACCCAGCACCCAGCACCAGCACCCAGCACCCAGCACCCAGCACCCAGCACCCAGCACCCAGCACCCAGCACCCAGCACCAGCACCCAGCACCCAGCACCCAGCACCAGCACCCAGCACCCAGCACCCAGCACCCAGCACCCAGCACCCAGCACCCCGCACCCATCACCCAGCACCCAGCACCCAGCACCCAGCACCCCACACCCAGCACCCAGCACCCATTCACCCCGCACCCATCACCCCACACCCATCACCCCGCACCCATCACCCCACACCCATCACCCCGCACCCATCACCCTACCATGCCCAGCAGCACTGCCGGGAAGGGCAGCACCATGGGATGAGCAAACAGAGCATGGCCGCTTCCCGCTGCTCCTGATGCAACCCAGGGCCAGCCCTGGCAGCTCCCATAGTGTGCAGTGTGATGGGGTGTGAGGGGTCGGTGGTGGCAGGGATGAGGCTTTAGTGTGAGGCTGGGGCCCTGGAGCAAGGAGAAGATGGGTTTCCAATCAGCTTGGAGCAATGAGATGTGATTTGGGCTTCATGTGAAAAACATCAGCTTGGCTTTCTCTTTCTTTCTTCTTTCCCCTCTTGCTCCCAGCTGCTGTCAGGATATAATTTATGGTTTATGTTTATCTGAGTAATTTTGCAGAGAGGGAATCGGGTTCCATTAGGTTTAAGCTGTTAGATACTGAGCTCGTGCAATCCCAGCCTGGATGGGGTGAGAAGGGACCTTAAAGCTTCCACTGGAGCAGCTTGCTCCAAGCCCCTGTGTCCAACCTGGCCTTGAGCACTGCCAGGGATGGGGCAGCCACAGCTTCTCTGGGCACCCTGTGCCAGCGCCTCAGCACCCTCACAGGGAAGAGCTTCTGCCTAAGAGCTCAGCTCAGTCTCCCCTCGGGCAGGTTCAAGCCATTCCCCTTGGCCTGTCCCTACAGGCCCTTGTCCCAAGCCCCTCTCCAGGTTTCCTGCAGCCCCTTTAGGCACTGGAGCTGCTCTAAGGTCTCCCCTTCAGGAGCCTTCTCTTCTCCAGGCTGCCCCAGCCCAGCTCTCTCAGCCTGGCTCCAGAGCAGAGCTGCTCCAGCCCTCACCATCCTTGTGACCTCCTCTGCACTCATCCCAGCAGCTCCAGGTCCTTCCCATTCCAAGGGCTCCCACCTTGTCCAGGGCACAACCCTGCTGCGCACACACACACAGCACCCGTTCATCACCCCATCCCCAGCAGCATCCGCATGGATGCAGACCCAAACCCATGGGAGAGAGCAGCCACCTCCAGCCTCCACCATGGGTGGTTATGTGCCCTGTGGGGGAAAGCCACATCCAGGAGCCATTTGGGTAAAGAGGCACCCCCAAAACTGCAGTTTCCATGCACCAAAGCCTGCATTGGTGAAAGCAGGGGTTGGGTTTTCCCCTCTTTACAGGTTCAGTTTCCTCCACGTGGTATTGCCTCATAGCTGAGCAAACAGCCCTGCAGCTGAACAAGCACATCAGGGCTGGCGATGGCCACGTTTGCAGGTGCTGTATATAAGGGCCAGAGCCAGGCAGCAGCCGGTCAGTGCAGGAGCCTCCTCCCATCCAGCCCAGTGATGCTGCCCGGCCTCCTCTTCCTCCTGGGGCTGCCGCTCACCCTCGCATCCCCAACTTGTGCCCCACTCATCCCGGTCACCTTCGACAATGCCACCATCCCTAGGGTAAGCACTGGTCCTTTCCTATCAGCATCCCTGGGGTAAGCACCGGTCCTTTCCTATCAGCATCCCTGGGGTAAGCACCGGTCCTTTCCTATCAGCATCCCTGGGGTAAGCACTGGTCCTTTCCTATCAGCATCCCTGGGGTAAGCACCGGTCCTTTCCTATCAGCATCCCTGGGGTAAGCACCAGTCCTTTCCTGTCAGCATCCCTGGGGTAAGCACTGGTCCTTTCCTATCAGCATCCCTGGGGTAAGCACCAGTCCTTTCCTATCAGCATCCCTGGGGTAAGCACCGGTCCTTTCCTATCAGCATCCCTGGGTGCAAGGGGAGGTTATGGACCCAACTGACAGCTCAGTGCTGGTTTCCCTACCAAGAAGTGAAGCCTTGCAGCTCTGATCCCATAACCTCATGAGCAGGGCACCTGTGGGTGGCTCCTGCTTCCATGCCCCCACTCAAATCAGGCTGCGCAGCACCATCCCTCCTGTGCTGCCGTTCTATTGTGAGCCCTTCAAGCGTCAGGGAGTCTCCATCCACACAACCCTTCACTGCATGGACAGGGTTTGGGGATGTTTAATGGGAGGAAAGCAAGGAGCACCAGGCACAGAGCACTGCAGGCACACGCTGGCCATACAGAGAGCTGGAGCATCACTTGAACAAGGAGGGCACAAACCCCAGGGCTGGATCCTACCTGGGGCAGTCACACACTGGGGCACAGCAGGGTGCAATGGATGCTTTCACTCACACGGTGCTCCAGCACGGACCCCCCCCATCACCCCAAACCAGCCCCATTCTGCTCCCCTCCACAGCTCCTGGGACACTGGATCTACATCGCCGGTGCCTCCCGGTACCCGCCTCACCTGGAGGAGCTGAGAGCCCTGAAGCACGCGGCTTTCTCCTTCTCTCCCAGCAGCCACGAGGACGAGCTCAGCACCACTGAAATCATGCGTCTGTAAGGATGGGATTCACCCCTCCCCAGCATCCCCATCCCCAAGGGATGTGGGTTCGGGTCCTGAACCCCTTGGGGAGGGCAGTTTGGGGGGGAAAGGATTTGTCCCATCTGAGCCCTCTGCCCTGCAGGAATGAGACGTGCGTGGAGAGGAACACCAGCAAGGTCCTGGTCTTTCGGGACAACTCCACCTTGGCGCATGGTAAGGCCCCGGCTGCGATGGATGGGATGGGACATGGGGACAGTGACACAGCCACACCTTGCACCCTCCCGCTTCTGCCCCACAGTGTTTGGCATCAGGCCCCTTTCCACCTAAAACCATGTCTGGAGGGGATGGGAGGCTTCTTCCACCCCATGCAATGGGTACAGCAGTGCTTGGGGACCAGGCTGGTCCCCACTGGGATGAGGATAAAGGGGGTGAGCAGCCCCAGCACGGGGTGATGCTCACCAATGGGTGACCCCGCTCTCTCTGTGCCTTCCAGTCGATGACCAAGTGTTTGCCATGGCCAAACTGATCCAAAGCGACAAGGACCTGCTGATCCTCAACCATCTCAATGATGAGTTCCCAAGTCTGAGCCTCTCAGGTGAGCGGATGCTGCCCGGGGATCCCTGGGGCACATCCCTGGCCCCGGACACATCAATGGGGATGGGCATCCCCAACCCTCACAAAGGGGTGTATTGATGGATGTGGGTATTCCCAGCCCTCACAAGCAGAGCAAAAAGCCCCTTCACCTCCGATACAGCAAGGGGTGGGCATGCAGACAGCTCCCCATCTGCACTACGGGTACCACCAAGAAGCAAAGCACCCCCAAACCTCCCTATTTCTCCCCCTTCCCCTTTTTGCCCCCCGTTTCTCCACAGCACGGACGCCCAACGTGAGCAAGGAGCAGCTGGAGGAGTTCAGATCCCACCTGCACTGCCTGGGCCTCACCGAGGAGGACATCTTCATGACCTCTGAGAAGGTACGGACCCATCCCCGGGGTGGGTGAGCACCAGCCCTGCACCAGCTCCTGCCATCGGATGCGATGGGGATACAGGGCGGGATGGGTGAGCAGTTCCCCACCATGGTGGGGGGACCATCCCCACCTTCTCCTCCCCGAGCATCCACCTTGGTCATTGCTGATTCTCTGGGGCAAGGGGCATGGATGGATGCTCTCTCCTATCCCACAGGATGCCTGTCCCCTGCCCTGGGAGAAGAAGGGTGAAGGAGATGCAGAGCCACAGCTGAAATAACCCCCATGGGCCACTCCATCCTCATCCTCCTCCGGTCCCCCCATGGGGACACCCCAGCTCCAGCCCAGCCTCAGGACTTTCTATTGAGGCTTTGGTTTTCCTCCTGGATGAAGCACACCCCGTTCCCTGCTCTCTCCTGGACCCACAATAAACCCATGTTACAATGCCTGCTGCTCCTGCTGCATCCTCACTGGGACCATGGGACCCCTCCTGCCTGCCCTGCCCAGGATGCTGCACCTCCAACCCCACTGAGAGGGGTGACAAGACCCATACAAAACCCTGATCACGGCAGTGGGCACAGAGATGCTCATCCCTCCACCAGCCCCATGGTGGCACAGGATCCCCTTGGCCACCCCATCCAGTGGTTCCCCCCTACTACGGGGCACCAGGATGTGAGCACCCCCCATCCGAACCCCTTGGGTCTCCTCCACGAGGACTCAATCAAGGTGCTTTTAGCACCTCAGCATCCCACCCTGAATCCTCAAGCTAAACCCTATGGGGCTCTGCCTGCACCAGGGGCTTGCACAGGGGTTGGGGTGATGTGGGGTGATGCTGTGCTATCCCTGGGTGTCTCTGAGCAGAAATAGGGGGAGAGATTGGGGGAAAACATCACCAAGGGGCAGAGTGAGGGTCCTGGGGAGGCTCCACATCGGAAGGGGAAAGGCAAAGAGAAACAAAGGCAGGAGAGAGAGCAGGTCCTGCCCTGCATGGGGGATAGGGATGGGGGCACCTTCCACTGGAGCAGCTTACTCCAAGCCCCTGTGTCCTTGAGCACTGCCAGGGATGGGGCAGCCACAGCTTCTCTGGGCACCCTGTGCCAGCGCCTCAGCACCCTCACAGGGAAGAGCTTCTGCCTAAGAGCTCAGCTCAGGCTCCCCTCGGGCAGGGTAAAGCAAAGTCCCCGCTAGGTGCCCATTGCGTCACCAGCGCAGAGCTGAGCCCTCCCGTCCTGTCCCACAAGCAGCGAAGCGAACCCGTCCGTGTGCCCTGGGCTCCTCGCTCCCAGGCGGCCGCAGCCATGGCCGGGGTTGCTCCCATCCCCATCCCCATCCTCATCCCCATCCTCATCCTCGCCTCGCTGCTGCCCGCAGCCGCCACCCCCTGCGGAGCCCTGCGCCCCGACAACAGCACCGCAGCCAAGGTAGGGGAGAGCCGATGGGGGGGATGCAGTGAGGCCGTGGTGCTGTGCACAGCCCCCGTGTGCCGTGGGGAAGGGGAAACCTCCCTTTCCCCCCTTCTCACCTGGGGGGGGGGGAGCCTCAGCACCGCCTCTGCAGCAATGGGAAGCGTTTGCTTCCCGAAGCACCTCGACTCACGCAGTGCTCCCCCAGTGGGGACCTCAAAGCAAGGAGGGTTGGGGGGTGGTTTTGGGGTGAGTCCCTTACGGCAGCACAGGGCACTGGGACACCCACAGCCAGCACCATTCCCGATCCAATGCAGCCATTCCCCCCCCTCCACCTCCGTTTGTTCGCACGGGTTTCGCTTTGCTGCCAATGCAGGGCGAGAAGCAGAGGTCACGAACAGCAGGGTACCACGGGGGGGTGCAGACCTGCCCCCCGCGCACCCACAGCTCTCACTGCGCTGCCCCTGTGTCCCTGCAGCTCCTGGGGACGTGGCTGTACGTGGCCGGCGCTGCCCAGCTCCCCCGGCACCTCCTGGAGATGCTGCTCATCGACCACGGGTACCTCCATGTGGAGCCTGGTGCCAGCGAGCAGGAGCTGCCCATCACCCAGAGCGTGGCTGTGTAAGCGGCACCCCCCGGTCCCTGCCCATCTCTTATGCGCTGCAGTGATTCCAGCAGGAGATAGGAGCACGGCTCCATGGATGCTCCGTGTGTGCTCCTCCATCCCCCTTCCTCCTCACCCTCTTCATTTAGATCTAAGGAAGGGGTCTCTGCTCCCCATTCCTCCATCACCCTCCTCCTGTTTCTCTCCCCAGGGGGGACCAATGTCTCACCAACAACTCCACCTACATGGAAATCACTGATGGCAACACCACGCTGGTGAAGGAGGGTGAGCAGCACCGGTGGGGTTTGGATGGGATGAGACACCCAAAGGGCCCATGACCATGTTGTGCATCATCCAATGCATTGGGTTGCTGTGTCTGTTTGAATCCTCAGTGGATTCCAAATGCCCCCACCAGGGACACCCTGCCATCACTAAACCCTAGGAAGCAATGCCATACCAGAACCAAGGAGCAAACCCATTCCCATCCCCATGTCTCCTTTATGAAGTTACCCCACAACCCCTTGGGGAAAGGGGGGAACATTTAAGGCAGGTTTAGTGAATCAATGAAGCCTCATGTTCTGAACTGTTTCCTCCTCACCAGGGACATGGGGTGAGCCATTTGGGGTGGGAATTGCAAGACCCCCAGGATACAGCTTGCACCAGCCCTACCCCAAGCACCAATGGGCGATGCCATCAGCACATTGCAATGATGGGACAGGAGCTGGTGACTGCCTCCTTCACATCCCAGACCCACATTGAACAAGTAGAATTCAAACCCAGAATATCTCGCCCTATACAGGACATCTGTCCTCACCCATTGCTAAGGGCTGGGTCCTGGCATTGCCCATCCTTGGGCTGGGTTTTATCGCTGCTCCAGCACTGAGCACCTGGATGCTGTGGCTGTTCCCAACCTGATGCTATTCTCTCCAAGCCAAGACCCAGCAGACTGTGGGGACACTGATGGAGCTCAGCTCTGAAGATGTTCTACTCATCCAGTACCAGCTGCAGAGGGAAAGGACGTACTCGGGGCTGTATCTCTATGGTACGCAAACCCCATCCTAACTTTGAGCTATTGTGGGACACCAAAACACACACATAGGATTATGAGCTAAAACCACGCAGCAGCTTGGCTTTACCAACAGTGATTTCCCTGAGGCCACCACTCCAGGGGTCACAGGAACACTGACAAACCCCTTGAAACCCCAAATCTCCTGGCAGAGGAGAACGAGCAAGTTAAAGACAAAACCCATTGACACCATGAGCATTCCAAGACCAGGAAGCAAACACAATTCAGCATCGATGTCGTTGTCAAATCTCAGTGTTTTCAAGCCAATCTTGCTTTACCAGTACATGCCTCCCAGGGCAGAGCACGTGGCTTTGCAGGGCAGGCAAAGCTGATCTGATCACAACCCCATAAAGCAGCATTGTAGGGCTTGATAAGGGTTCCCAATGCCCTTCCAAGCTGCAAAGCTGTTGCTTAAGAGTCTGAAGGCACTTACAGAGAGCTGCCTCCATCCTCAGTCCTTCCCAATGGGAGCATCAGAGTACTCTGCAACCCCTTTAAGCAGACAGGACCAGAGCTGACTGGGGAGATGGTTAAAAAGTGATGCCCAAGTTGGTTTTGTTCCGGTGTATTCACCATGAGAGACCCCCATAGGGACCATGGGCACAGCAAGCAGCGGTGGGAGCACGGGGCAGGGATGCGGCACGCACCGAGGCCTCTGGTCCATGTTTAATGCCTGGTAAATGCTTCTCCTTTTCCAGCCAGAAACCTGAGCATGAGCAGAGCCCAACGGGAAGAGTTCAAGACCCAAGCCAAGTGCCTGGGGCTGAGTGAAGAGGGGATCGTGTACGCGCCATGGAGAAGGGTACGTGGCTGCCCATGGATGGGCAGAGCCAAGACCCCCAGTTATAGCTCCAGCCACCAAACCAGGCTCTTGGAGAGAGGCTTTTAAGGTGGTGGAAATGATGTAGGGGGCTAAATACACACAGTGTTGCTTCAGCAGTGATGGTGGGTTAAAATACACACACATGCATCGATACATGAATCCCCAAAGCAAATCCCAGCACCTGAGCATCTCCAGTGGGAAACCTGTCCCACAATGGGAAAAACAGCTAAAGGATGGGATTTGGGCCCTGAAATTCCTGATTTTGCCTCCCAAAGCAAAGCCCCCCCTTCCTGGAGGATGCAGCAAGGGGCAGGAGGGGCTGGTGCCCTGCGTGGTCCCACTTCAGACAAAGGCACCATCACCCAAACCTCAGGCTGTTTCCAGGTTGGGGTTTGCTTTTCCTGCACCCCAAGGTGGGATGAGCAGGTTCCCAGCCTGGCTGGATGCTAATGGGGTTCAGGGAGGCTGCACAAGCCAGTTCTCCTCCCACCCCAGCACAGAGGCTTCTTTTGGGTTTGGGATCCAGCCCTGAGCTTCCAACCCCATCAGGACAGAGGCAACACCATCCAATCCCACAAAACCAGACCTTTTCCTTCAGTTTTTCCATCAAAATACTAACTGCTTAGCATTAATAGGCTTCAATGGACATTAATTAACATCAGACATAAACATGTAACATTAACTGGACCTCTGCAGCCTGATTTAGGGCATTTTATCCTACAAACGACCAGTCCCTTACAAAATGAGTGTGAAAAACCTCCTGCCTTTTCCTGTTCTCCATCTCCTCATCCCCATTGGGAGACTCTGAGCTTCCAGAGGTGCCCAAACCCCACTGGAAGCAGCCAGGCTGGACCCACCAGAACCCCCAATACCCCCAACCTCAAGGACCTGCCTTTAGCACTGTCGCTATGGGTCCCGGGGCACATGGAGAGATGAGATGCTCACAGTGGGGCAGGGGCAGGTCTCTCCATTATAGGCAATGGGCAGCACCTGGGGAGCAGAACCCAGCTCCCTCAGGTTAACGGGAGGCAGCTGCTGATCAGGGCGTTGCAGAAGCCTCTGGATCACATTTAAACCTGGGTAAGTGAGGGAAAGGTGGAATAAGCTCAAAGTGTTTGTCCTTAAATCCCTGGTGCCATTGGAGTCAGCAGAGAAGGTTTTTGTGCCTGGCCAAAAGGAGGCACCTGAGGAGTGAAATGAAACCAGTTAAATACAGAGATTTGGGGACCTTTATCATCAGGGTGAAGGAGATGGATGCAAACAGAGCATCAGAGCAGTGATTCATGTACCGCTGCACTGGCCTGAGGCATCAGGAGAACTTCAACCACACTAATCCCAACAGCCAGGGGAGCATGAGCTTTATATTGAGTTCCCAAGAGGTTTGAACCCCAGTTTCCTTCAGAGCACACTGAGCCCCCCCATAGTACAGCTTTGCCCCAGAATGGCACCATCAGCAGCTCAGCAGCTGAGCAAATGTGTCCATGATTCAGACAGCCCATAGCTTCTCTGGGTCCTCTTAGATGTATAATCAGATGAAATGTTGCTTTCTTCCCTAAATTCCCTCCTGCTGGTGCATTGCCCATCACCTATCCTGTTATTGCTGTCCTGGAAGGAGCTGTGTCAAATGGAGGAGGCTGACAAAGGAAACAGCCCATGGATGGAGCCCACAGCTGCCGTCACAGCATCACCTTCTCCGGGTACCCCAATGCTGCAGGGCACAGGGAAGCGATCCCACGTTGGGCAATAAATGTTTTCTTCAAACCCAATGCACTTTGTTGCTGGATTCTGGATCGGAATGAGGGCTTGCAGCAGGAAACCAAACACTCACCTCGTGTGTCACTGGGCAAAGTCAGCCTTGAGCAATGGGGGACGGGACACGTGGAGGTGTTCTCTGCACTCGGTTCGCACTAAGCTCCATTGAAAAGCAGCAGTGCAGTGAAGCAGTGATGGAGGCGAACCAGAAGAGGGCAATCATTAACTGCTTTAAATGAGTGCGCCAAGCAGTTGGTAGCTGGAATATAACTGGAATGTATGGAAGGCTCCAAACTTTAACTGTAGGCTGAGGGGAAGAGGGTGCTTAGCTAGAAGCAAGCACCCAATTCCCTCAACAGCGGCGTGGCTGCCAGAAGGAGCCCAGCAGGGACAGAGATAATAGAATCCTAGAACCATTATCCCTGAAGAATGATTATCCATATCCATACAATGAATATTCCTGCCCAAAGCCTTTGGATCAGGGAATTGCTCCCCAGTAATGTTTATCCATGGCAAGGTCTGTGATACAGGAGGACAACACTGCCAAATGAGAGAGGGAGAGGGTGATGGCCCATTGGAGGCAGGATTTTCATTTCCCAGAGGAAAAGGTCCCGTGTCCCCATTTCTCAGGGATCTCAGCAGCCTGGGGGTGAGAGGGCTCAAGTGCCAAGACCCACACTGCTCTCTGTGCCTCCAGTACACCCCACAGTCGTTGGGCACCTCACTCATCCCATCCCAGCCCCATAGGGATGTAAGCACCGTCACTCTGCTTGTGAAGAGGGGTTTATAGAGGCTGATGTTGTGTATGTGGAGAGTAATTCAGTGCCAGCTCTAACCTCGTAATTAAGCACTGGAAATATCCCTCTTCCTTAAAAAGGAAGGAAAGGAGAAAAGCTGGAGGGGATATGGTGAAGAAGAGCGCTGCTCCTCCCTCTGCAGCAGCAGGGTGCCTGGCCCGGTGCAGTGCTCCAGCATCGAGGCTTTGGCTTGATGCCTGTGGCACAAATGAGTCTTACAATGTCAAATACAGCCAATTCCCTCAGCCTCAGGGCGCAGGTACCCGGCCAGCCCTTGCTTCAGACACAGCTTTATCAGTGTGTGACAAGAAACACAACTCCCCACCTTGAGGAGCAACGCAGTAGAAGGGTAGGAGAGGGGATGCTGCCAGCCTTGAGTGCTGCTGAGTGCTCGATAAGCATCTGAGCTGACACCGATGGAAAGCAGAGGCTCACATTACCAAGCCCCAGACTTTAGGAGTAGATTTATAGCTGAATAAAAGCCTTGAATTACAGGAACCAAACAAAGCCAGCCCGGCCCCTGCAGCAGGTTTGTGAACCTGATCAGAGGCCACTTGTGCTACCAGCTCTGGGTCCTGACTGAGCTGCAAGGATAGCTCCTGGTTGGGGCTTGATTTAAGGCCTAACTGCACAAAGCCTTTCCTTCAAAGGCCCTATGAACCAGGCTCCTTCCAGGGCTTTTCTGGGTCTTCTCTGAACAGTTATGGATGCTGAACAGATGGGCAAAGTCCAGCAACACTCAGAGATGGGTTAACAGCATCTGCGCATCCCCAACACATCACTGCCTTGAGCTCAGGTTTGCTGGATTTGCCTTTAAGAGGAATTCTGTTCTCCCAGGTCCCCCATAGGGAGAATCCTTCCCAGTGGCAGCATCCTTGGTGGGAATCATCCCAGGAAGAGTCTGGCCACAAACAGCACCAACAAACCACGATAATGAAGAGATGCAGACACGTGGTATCTCTTTGACAGACCTTTATTAGCAGACTGCTCCCTACGTGAAGAATCCAAGTTAGATTTGTATTATAACAATCTGTGGTTACAGCTACAAAGATGGTTGTCATTTTGCATTGATTTTTGCATTCTGATATTCATATTCCCATTAGGCCACACCGGTAGGAAGGAGCCACTGCAGAATTTATGACAGGTCTCAAGAAGAGGAGGGGGGTGGAAAAAAATCACATCACTAATCCAGATTGATTTAGGTTTCCATGTGGCTAACTGCTCACAGCACTGGCTAGCCATGGCAGAGCCTTACCTGGGAGGCTCTCCATGAACCACCAAAGCTGTCGGCATAAAAGCAGCTGCTAAGTGCTAGTGCATCCTTGTCTGGTTTCCACAGTGCCCGCTTGCCTATGAAGAGCACTGCCCCAGCAGCAGGCTCTGCTGATCCAGCCTCAAAGCAGCTTGTGCCCAAGCGCAAGTTTCCTGCCATCAATCTGGAAACTTGTGGGTTTAGTCCCTGAGATTTCTTCCCTCCCCCCTTTTCCCTTAGATTTCCCCAGGATTGCTCTCAATTATCCACTGTGACATCCAACATACACAGACCTTCTACTTCCCATCTCCAGCCATCCACCCACCGGCCTCTCCGCCATGCACGGAGGCAATTCCAACGTAAGGCAAGCCTCACAGTGCACCCTCTCCCTCCTCCCAAGGTTCTGCTTCCCAACTACTCCCTTCTCTCCTATGGCTTCTTGCTACAGAATTTCTCTGGGCTGAGGTCCTCTAGCAACAACCCCAGACGTGGGAAAGGCAGCTCAAGCCCCAAGAGGAAGGTGCTTCAGCATCCCTGCCCACGACTCAGCTGTGTGATGTGAGAGAACAAAGAGAGAACTTCCTAAACCAGAACTACGAGCACAGTAACAATATTCAAACAAGTCTATAAAAATAGTCTGACATAACTCTGTTCAAATAAATACAAAATAAATATGCTTTAAGCAGTAAAACAGTGGAATGCAACGCTGGTCCTTTCTTTTTTGCCCAAAGTGAAAAGTTGGATGAGGATCCCCCAGGCCTCACAAGCCGGATCCTATCGACTAAAGTAGCCCATAATGCAGTCAGAGAAATTTTAAAGCCATGTCTTTCCCTTAGCCTTATGAAAAGCACCCTTTGAAAGCAAAGCAAGAATGTCTTCAGGACTCAAAGCCCACCTCTCCCAGTGACAACCAGCCCCTCTTCCCTAACACCCCAACAGCACCCATCCTCCTGGCTTGGGGACTCCATCCTGCTACCGCAAACCCGAACATCAATCTACAAAGAGGTCTAAAGAGATAGATAGCAGCGTAGGCACGGGGGTTGGAAAAGGTCCACCAGCTACCCTTGGCACCAGGCAGAATGGAATTCAAAGGTCCATGCAACACCACGCAGAAGCTCTCACATTGTGCTGGGAGCAGGACTGCGCAGGAGCTGTGATACAGTGGGTTTTGTTCACTAAAGCCATGCATCAAGGTGCCAGTCCATCCAGGGCTCTCCTGCCTCCCCTTTTCCAAGCCCCTGCTGAGTATAAGACAAGCCAATCCCGGCATGCAAAGGATACAGGCATGCAGGCTCTAGTCTGCTGCTTCTGTTAGTAAGTGCATCTTGTTAGTGGATTTATGAGACACACTTAAGCCTATCAAAAATAAATAACTTTAATTCTTCATCAGGCTGGTCTAAATAGCCTTCAGCCTGACCAGATAAACCACTGCCCACCAGCCCTCAAAACCAGTACAGTTCAAAGTTCCATTTCATGTCAAGTCTTGGAAGCAGAACATGAATGTCTCCTACCCAAAGGGATATATGTAAACATAACAACAAGCCTGGTGTGGCAGCAGCTCCTACACGAGGTTTGTACAGATTTGAACACGGGTAGGAAGTTGAACAATTGAATGGGACAAGGAAAAGAAGCTCTCTGAATGGAAAAAGAAGCTCTTTCAGCAAGTCAGAAGGTGCTCATCTGCAGGCAAACAGCTCTGCACACGCTGTACACTGAAAGCAGACCCTTTACCCAAACTTTGCTACTCTGCCGTGCTGCTGGGAACTGATCTCAGCAACTCGTGCCTTAAGATTTAACCAGGAGTTCACCCCCCTGGTCTCCCAAAAGGCCCAACACAAAGGAGCACTTGGTGTAGAACAGAGTAGCAAGATGGCAAAGGCCACCAGATCCTCCCCCTCCCCTTACTGACTTACAAACTATCTGAGATTTCACAGCTTTGCTTAAGTCAGCTTAGTGTCAACACATTCACAGAATGAGAGGTGGCTATACGTCTTGAGGTTGCACCCCAAGACTTCAGAGTTCAAGGTCCTCAGCATCTCCTGGTCACCGTGACTGCACGCCCAGAGACATCTTCAAGTTCTCATAAACCACGTAGCTGATGCTTACAGCTGGGATCACCTTCATAAAGTTCGGTGCCAGACCCCGGTAAAGACCAAAGGCTCCCTCTGTCTTCAGAATGTGTCTGAACAGTCCCCTCATGGTCACTTCAGGAGCACCCTCCACCGAAGCTGTAATAGAGAAAGGCACAGCTCAATAATGCAGCCCACGTGTTTTGATTTAGGTGCTTCCTGTGGCTGTTCACAGAGCAAAAGCGCTTCATGGGGAACAGCACCTAACTTCTCCACAAGCCACTGCCACGCTGCGCATCACAGGCATCCTCCCAACCTCATCTGCAGATGCCCTTAACCCCAAACTGCTCATCAAAACAAGAGCTCTGGCCTGAAGGTGCTTGGCCCCTGACACTAAGGGCAGCACAAAGTCCACTGTGCTCTTGCAGCATGGCAAACAGCCTTCTGCTCAGCTGCACAGGGCAGGGTGGTTGCAACGTTTGCACTAAAGGACCTTTACCCAGCTCAGAGACCATGGCACGAGTTCCCACAGTCCCCAGAAGCCCTCACCTTGGGCCTGCATGCGTGTCCTCACGAGAGCCAGGGGGTAGCTCGCCAGCTGCCCACAGGTACTGGAGATGGTGCCACAGGCCAGCAGAACAAAGACTCCGGGGTCGGCGCTGTTGACAGCATAGCGTTGTAACCAGGCATTTTTCAGTGTCTGGAAGGAACAAGCTGCATGTTAGCAGTGAAGAGGCAATCAAAAGCATATCACACTGTAATAAGATGTAGTGTAAAGGCCCAGAAAGCCAGTGCAAATTCAGCCAGAAGCACGAGGCTTCTCAAAGCTTTTTGAGCTACTGCTACTGGGGAAAATCCTTTCTCGTAAAGCAAGCAAACAAGGGACCATGCATAATGTTGACTAGGGAAGGAGAATTGTTGTACTGGATTATCTTTTAGGCCATTTTGGGTAAAAATAAATCCAATTGTGCCCTATAAAGCTGATCAGGAAAGCTCTGATAAACTCCTGTAACAACTGGCAGGTCTGACAATGATACAGCTACACAAGCAGCACAGCCCTACAAGTTAAAGGGTTTATACCTCATAGACTGCCAGGTCAATGCCAGCATATGGAATGATTCCCAGCATGTTGGGGATGTAGCCTTTGTAGAAGGCAGCCATTCCCTCCTTTCGAAGGATGGTTTTGGCACAATCCAACACGCCTGAATATTGTCCTGTCTTCCTTAGAGCCATCCTTGTTTTCAGAACCTAGAAGACAAAAATAAATACCATGAAGGCCTATGGGAGAATCAATAGGAGAATAAAAACACACAGTGTCATACTTAAGGGCATGACTTGGCTACAGCAAGTATCATGCAAGCACTACTGCCTGACATGACCTCTAAGAATCAAGCTATCACAGTGCTGCTGTTCTACCCACATTCTCCCATCTCAGCATCTTGCCACAACCCTCCATGGGCTGGACTGTGAGCCCCGGGACTCACCTCCATGGGGTAGATGCTGCTCTGTGCAATGGCCCCAGCCAGAGAACCAGCTAACAGCCGCTCATGGATCCTCAGCATTTCTTGGTCAGTGCCAATGAACCTCTTAATCTGTAAAAGCCAAAGCAGACATTGAGCCTCACTGACTTACCTCAGCCAGCTTTTGTTTCAGCTTGTCCTTCTGCAAAGCCTTCTGTCTGTGCCCTTTTACTCACCTGCTCATAGGCCATGAATTTAATGGCAGATTCGGGTGCAATCTTCAACACATTGATGCCATTCCCTCGCCACAGTGACCTTGGTCCACCCTCTCGGATCATTTGAGTAAAGCCGCCAATGATGCACATGTTGTTACTGCGGGAGGCATGGACCTGGGACAGAGCAGGCAAGCTTGGATTAGCTCCAGCCCTGATTACGACAATGCCACATTTTTCTGTAATCCAGGGACAAAAGGGCACTTTTTTCATTTACCCAGAGATTTGCCAAGGCTTTAATCCCTCCCAGATAACTCCTACAATAGGAAAGCAAGCTTCTTTCCTTTTCTGCAAAGTCTACTGTTAACTGATGGACCTAACCAGTATCTCTCTCTGGAATGGGAGGAAAGGTTAAATAAACAACTCCCATACCCACTGCAGGATCAGTTACCCCGGGTAAACTTCTCAGCTGGCTCAAGAGCAAGTACAGTGGCAAAGCAGGTGAAAAATCAAGGTTTCCTAACTACTTTCTAATGCTGATAATACTTACAGTAAGTTAAGTGCTGCCCCCTGACCACCAGAACCACTTCAACTCTCATGGCCTCATGAAAACACAAGGCTTAAACCCGTTTCACCAATACCCATGGTTTCCAGTGCTCTAAAGCATAGAGCTCTCCAACTATTAAGAGCTCTCATATGTCACCTTCCAGAACAGTTGCTGTATTTTTTTCCCCCCTAATCAACAAAGACTACTTTAACATGACTTGGATCATTCAAATAATCCAAAAAGCAATACACAAGCAATGATACTAACCCTGACCAGAGTGCTGTAATGTGTTGATGGACATTATCACCTCCTAGGCACCCAAGGATACTAAAGGAATCTGCCTGGATATCCAGACAAACTGAAGCTGCTCCATCATACCTGCATGAGCACTTTCAAGCGGTCCAAGGGAGCTGTACAAGTCCTGGACACGGCACCTGCACCTCCACCTGCAACCAGGTGTCTCCACCACATCCCTGTCTGCCTCTCTTCCACTGTGAACTCATCAGGGACAGTCAAATTCTCTCCCACATCAAAGATCTGCAGAAGTAGAAGGTGTTGAGAAACGTTTCATTAGCCAGTGATCATGCCCAAGTTTTACTGCTCTTAATCAGTGCTAAGTGTTGAAGGACTGGATATACTTATCCCAGCTCAGCAGCTTATCTATAGCCCTTAACTGCTGTGCCTGGCCTTAGGAGCCACCACTGCTTATAAGCACGGCACAGGTGGAACCTTCACATCCAGAGATTTCTGCTCATGAATCTGGCAACTGCTCAACATCTGTCTGCATTAAAATGCTGTGGATCATTGTAAGGAACAAAATGACCAACTGCAGGGCAGCTGCCTGGCAAAAAGGCTGGACCTGTCTGGAACCTTCCACGCTCGCAGCCAGTTTAATCTCATTACATGCTCTTTACACACACTGAAATATCTCCAGGAAGGAGGGGTGCTTGTCAAATCCATTTCTAGTTTTAACAGGTCCTGAACCAGCAGGGACTGGCCATAGGTATGAGCTCTGAGAGGCACAAGTCAAGTGAACACCCTCATCTTCGTGCAGTTATCACCTGTGCCAAAGGCTTCAGAAGCTGTGCCAGTGATGGGTGGCAAGATAACAGGACAGGAAGCAATTGGGCTTCTAGGGCTACAAGGCAGCTATTGAACCATAGAGAAAAAGATAGGACTGCTGATAACAGCTCCTGGGGGTCAGGACTCTGTCTGAGAAGCTGAGCAAAGAGCAAGATCTGTTGCAGAGGAGCCACTTCTTACCGTGGAGTGCTTCCAATAGAGGATGATTTCAGGAATGTTCTCCACTGGGTGCAGCAGGTGATAGTCTCGCCACTCATTCCAATCAATTGTCATTGTCCCATTTTTATCCATGCTAAAAAGATGCAGCATTAAGTGAGAACAGACTCCCACTGGATGACAAATTCCTCCTCCCCTTCCCTTTGATTATTCAGGCCTACACCAAACGAAGTTCTGCAAAGCAGCTAGTAAAAGACTTCTAAAGAGACACAAGACAAAGCTAAAACCTATTCAAACACAGCACAGGTAGAAGTGGGCTCCTTTTTTCCTCCCCTGTCTCTCCCCTTTAACTGACCCACAGGAGTAGTTGCACCCCCTCCTACCAAGATCAGGGACACAACTGACACTGAAGGCAAAATAATACTTACTAGGTGACAGGACCCCAGAAGTGTCCCGTCCTTATTCTGACACACAGGCAAACAGACAGAGGGAAGGTAGCAGAGGAAAGAAAGAGGAAAAAACAGCACAAATAAGTGGTTGTTACCATGTTAGTGCCACATGCACAAAGCACTCAGCATTTCCAAAGAGCAACTGCACAGTCCTTCTCCAAAGCAGCAAGCTCAGGGCAGCAGGACAATGAGACAGGGATGCAAATTCCCACAACAGGTCAGGAAATAGAGATTGACAGTGACTTTCCACAGTGCATTATGACTTTGTAAGCGTCAAACCATGGAGAGGGTTAAAAAACAGATCAAAATGAAGAACAACAGGCAAAAAGGGAGGAGCTGAGGTCTCTGGAAAGAGCGTACAGGGTAGAAAGAAGAGATGGGTTCCTTGTGTCTCTGTTTCTTTCTAACCCCCTCAGCAGTAAAGCACAAGGAGCGGTGGAATCCTCACCTCTTCAGGATCTTCTCAGCCTGCTGTTCAGAGATCTTGACTCCCAGGTCCCGAAGGGACTGCACAATCTCCTGGGCATCAATACGGCCTGCAAAGATGAGCCAGTGAGCTCAGGTATATGGGTTACGAGATCACTCATGGAGCAGGCCTATTCATGAGCATGAGAAAGGTGCTTACCATCATTCTTCTTATCCAAGCTCTTGAAGACCAGTCTCAGCTTCTTCTCATGATCTTGGAGATAGTGAACGAATTCCTCAAAATCCAGTTGTCCATCCAGATCTTTGTCTCCAGCCTTCACAATTTTCTGTTCAGGAACATCAAAACCTGTCAGTTCCTTTGCTCACACAGCTCTGCCCCTCATTCTATCCAATATAAAGATCATTCCCTACCCAACTTTGACTCTGCCTCCAGGAAACAGCTGACAATCATCATTCCTCAAAGAAATGTGAGCAAAGCAGTAATGTAGAAAAGTCACCTGATTCCAGGCAACTGTCTCTCCTAAAGTTAGTTACGCAGATAAAACGCCTCATGCTTTGACAGGGATATTATGCCACTATCATGTGTCTAATCTTAGTGCTGTATCGTCATTTAACACCTTACAAAGCCCCTGTGGAGGTTCTTGAACTAAGTATGAACAGATCTGCATATGAAGTGAATCACAAAGCTTCAGGTAACAAAAACACCTGAATAAGAGAAGGAATTTCGTGCCTACTACGATCCTTAGAGAAGTTAGGTGCCTCTGGCAATAACCACCTCCAACCAGAAAAAGCCTGCCCAGCTCTAATGGACACAGCCAGAGATAAAAACCCCTATGAACTGGTTTAGGCACCCTGAAGCTATGTGCTCTAATTATACAAGTTTCCATGAGATGTATATAGAACAAGAAAAGGTTCTTAATAGGGCAAAGCTTAAATCAAGATCAGACTCTGTGCCAGACATCTGGGACAAGGTAAATGACTCATTAACCCCTTCCAGCAGAGGGCAATAGCACATGGACTGTCCTATCTAAGGGCACACTTGCTGACAGGGAGGTGATCTCCAGGCTGCAGGAATGTGGCTCAGGGAGTTCCTATTCCTCTTCTCCTTCAGTCACTTGCCCTTTGACAGCTTTCAAGTCTTTTCTAACATGAATCAATGGGCACCAGTAAATGAGGGGTGATTCAGCCTACTGCATCACCTACAGTTTTGGTTTAATTCCTGTAACAGGTATGTGAACATAGGTGGGAGAAGGAAGCTCTGAGCTGAAATGCAACACTAGGCTAACCCTCTGTCCACCAGATTTTTGTTTGAGCTTCAACGGTAATGGGTAAAGCTAAGCTTATTGTGATATTTCCTCACCTATGAGCACCAGTCCCCTTCATAAGGCTGAAGTCTTTGTTTCCATGCCATTTTAAATGACTTAAACACTAAATCACTATTAAAACCCACTCTCACCCCTGTCACTTCAGCCCTAATGCTACGAGGATTATTCCTAATCATTTTGGGAGCCTTAAATATGAAAGCACTGTCCCAGCTGCCCTGACCTTTGAGGTACACCCGGTATTCTTCACCTGCAATTCATCATATGACTGTCGTAAAGTTCAGCTATGACCTTACATTCAACTTGCAGGCTAAAGATAGAGCAATACCCCTCACATGTCAGCAAGCTGCCTCCAAACAGCTGAATCAGGGCTTCCCTCCGGCTGGCCACAGGCAGTTGCAGTTGGCAGGCACTGATGACTGAGAGCACTGTATCAGAGATGTGACTGTGCAAGTGCTCCTGTGCTCCCAGCCACAGAGATGTGCAAGTGATGGTCAGAGACTGCAGGTAATGAAAGCTGCTCTGCTGCCCAGCAGGAACCCACAGCACACATGGGAAGGGTGAGAAAGCCAACAGCATCTTCTCCAGAGATACAAATAAGTGCCTGCCTGCAGCTCTTTAACAGCAAATACAAACTCTCCATAGACAGAACTGGTCACTGACAGCTATGTGGCTGCTGTTGCTTGTATGGTCACCTGCATCACACACAGACCCCGCAGCACATTGTGGGACCCCACATGTCTTAAAGCCTGCTACCATTATGCCTTGTGTCTGTACAGAGATATAAAAAGCCCACCCAGCTTTGCTGTTCAATCATCAGCTGTCTGTGCTCTTCAAGTCTGGTCATAAGAGCCACAGCAGCAGGGCAAGCTGAAAGCAAGGGGTGCAATATGGTCAGACAGAGCACTCCATGGATTTAGTGCATCTTCATTCCACAGCGAAGGGGAATGCTCTATAACCTCCCCCAGCTCAGCCCACTCGCCACTGCTGAGCCATGAGCACGAAGCTGCTCTTCTGCTTATAGCCCAAACCCACTCACCCTCACTGGGGGCTGACACCAGATGACACACCTCCTGTCAGAGGGAGGCAGGATGCAAGAAGGAAAAGGAAGAGGATGTGAAACACTCTATTGGAGCAGACCAGCTGGGAAAAACCCTTTTCCTATTTACTGTGCACCAGATCAACTGGTTTAAACATAGAGGCACTGAGCTCTCATACGATCCAAACCAAAAGAATCAAACGCTGTTTCAGCAGCCCCAACCAAGGGGTCCATGCTACACCCTGCTGTGATGACAGAGCCATCACGAGCTTCTCCCCATCAACCCTGCCACTGAGGGTATTAGAGACCACCATCACTCACGCCATTCCTCCACCATTCACTCCCATTCCTCCCTCAGGGCCATACCTGTTTCCACTGGCGATAGGTGGAGAATTCCTGGGATGGAATGAAGAGGCTGAGTCTGAAGATAGATTTGAGTCCAGCTGGCAGCCCCTTCGACTCAAAGTACTCAAACTCAGCCTGGGACTCCCCGAACACCGGCACATAGAGGCAGAGGCAGAGCATCTTCCCAAGCCGGAGCCTCAGCTGCCCTGCTCGGACCCACCGGGAAGGGAAGTAAAACCGAGTGATCCCCAGGAGCTGCTTTCAGCGCGTGGTGGAAAGGAAATGCCGGCCAGTCTCATGACACATGCCTATGAGCAAAGCTGGCACGGGTGGGATTGGCTGCACAAGCCCTGCCCTTCTACTTAAAAGGGAAGCTGTAGCTGTTGAGTCCCACCCAGCAGGCAATGTAGGAGGCCTCCCATTGCTCAACACCAGCACTGAGACCTTACATCAGCTCACCACAAGTTAACTCTTAACCAGGCTTCCCTCTCTCGACCCAAGAGGCTTTGGCTGACATCCAGGTAGGATGCTCGCTCGCTGCTCCTTACATCCGATCTGGTCCTGTTTTCACGCCTCCAAGAATCTACCTACGCAGCACAAGAGGGACCAGGCTGGAGCATGACCTCTCCCACCCACTCAACACAAGAGGACTCTGTCCTCCTCGTCCCAAGAAATCTGCCTCCAGAACACGGGGCAGGATGCCACCCACCTACTGCTTTCATGCGTGTTTGGGATGTCCAGCCTAAGCAAAACTTCCACTTTTATAAGGCTATGAGTTGGTCTGCTTTGATTGCAAGTTCTCCCAAAAGCACTCAATGCCAGCTAGGAGCAGAGGCACCTCCATACCAGCATCTCTCTCCTCTGCAGCACTCCAGTTACTCACACCAGTAAAGCCTGTGGAGAAGGTTTGCCATTGTGCTGAACCTTCAGAGAACCACTAAAAACCAAGGGCAGGCTTCAGCACAGCCCCATCTGCTCCAAAGGCCCTTAGCTAAGCACCCACATAGCAGTTACACCAGCTGAAGAGGTTTTCCTCCTCTTCCAGGCACCATTAAACATTGCAGTCAGATGCGTGCTATAAAGTGGCCCAGGTAGAACACCACTTTCCAGTTCCTACCATTTAACCACTTTGTAAGTGACTTCCTGAGCTTTCATCAGGAGCAAGCCAGGGAGTGTGGCACACGCATCATTTAATGCAGCCCTAATTACAGGCTTGTAAGCATTTAGTGGAGTTTGATGCAGGGATAACACCTAGCTCTGCAGTGAGAGTACCAAAGCAGTGCAGCAGGTATCAAGGCTGCTCAGACCACAGTAAGTAACTCGCTGCTAACACGAGTTTGCCAATGAAGTTATAATCTTGATGTTCACCTAAGATAAGCTGTTACACAAGGAAGATGCAAAAAGCCATAGGCCTAACCAGAACACCATGGCCCTGTCTGCACTTGAAGTAGCACAACATGTTTGCTTAGCTGGTTTAAGCCAGCCCAGCAACAGCTTTCCCCACCATTGCAGACACAGCAACATTTCCTTGTGTTTGCTCTGTCTGTACAGCCTGCCTGGCCAGTGCAAAGTCCAATAAGCACTCCCTTCCTCCCATCCTAATGCACAAGGGGCCTTTACGTCTTTACCGTGGCATTTTGTTCTGTAAGGAGAAGCCAAGGTCTGCAGTGAGCTGTTTGTGGAGCTACGTGTCAATCACATGGATTGGGAATATTTCATCTGGGGCTTCATTTCAAGGATATTTTAATGGGTTTTTTTAAGCTTAATAAATCCTGACTGACAGCAATTGGGTACCCTTGAGAATCGTGACCCAAACAGTTCCTACGCCCTCCCCCAGCACCTCATCTACCCCAGCTCTATGCCACGTTACCTAACCAGGCTTAACCTCCTCCCTGCTGACGTCCCTCTGCATGGAAACAGGATGTGTGCAGGGACTCCAGATCCTCTTAAAGATCAGCTGCAGCAGCTCACTCCATGCACACCACCAGCCAACAGTGTCAAGGCCAGGCTGGACACAGGGGCTTGGAGCAAGATGCTCTAGTGGAAGGGGTCCCTGCTCGTTGGCAAGGGGCTGGAACCGGATGAGCTTTGAGGTCCTTTTCAACCCAAACCATTCCATGATGGAGGAGCCTGACCGAGGCAAGCAGCCCACCCCCAGCTCCAGGTACTATGTGCACAAATATAACTCAGATTTGCTCCACCGAGTCTTGAGATCCTCCGTAGTCCTTCCCACGAGTTGCCAAGCATCAGCGGTAGAGCTGCTTGGTTGCTATGCCAACATGATGCAGATTCCCCCAATAAACTCTGTCTGGAGTTGGCAGCCAGGGATAAAAGGCAAAATCTGCTCATTTTCGGGAAGAAAAGCCCCATTACTGACGTCAGGGGAAAGGAGGAAGGTAATAAAGTGGAGAAAGCTGATTTTAAGCAGGGTATTAATTACAGGGCAGCGAGCTAAGAAGGAGAGACGGATTAAGGATGAAGTTTATACCACCAATTCTGGCTGTAGTGACAAAAGGAACTTGAGCATTAACAGGTTTTCAGATTTCACCTAAGAAACCCTGGGCAAACCTGGAAGTACTCAAAAGGCAAAGCTGCAGGGTCAGTGCTGCTGGAACACAGCACCCCAAGCCTTGGTCCCGCTCCCCCAGCCCCTGCCAGCACATACACAGCCAGGGCTTCATACAGGAGCTGTATGGGTTGGACATCCCTCGGTAGCTCTAATCCGGGTCAAGCCCAGGACAGGGCACGGAGCTCCAAATGAAGTCAGTCCTTTCAAGTCTGACACTTCTTCCAATGAAGCTGGACCTACATGTTTCTGGTCAATGTGAAGGCAGCCTAGCTGATACCTTCCTCTGCTAAATGGAGCATGAGATGGGTCCTTCTTCCTCCTCCCTTTTCTTGCCATCAAAGAAGGGGCAAACTCATTTTCACTTTATTTATAGGACTTATTTCTTATTTAAGCACTGTCACAAGTTACTCAGCACCCCACAATCCCAACACTTCACCTTTCCAAGTCATTTCTGCTCTTCCAGGCATCTACATCACTGGTTTACTACATCAGCTGCAGAAGGTACCTCCCGAAGGATGGGAGGATGCAGCCATACAAGGAGCAGGAAAGGATGCTGCTTAAGTTTGAATTTACTTTGCTATAAAAAAGGTCTCTATAAATATCAAGTGCCAGCGAGCGTCACAGCATGTATCTAACATCCTCCTTCGCAGGCAAACCAGCTCGCTGGGCAAGTACACCATGGGGCAGAGGGAGAACCGCTATGGCTGGAAGCTTTCCCTAGGTTCTGCTGACTTGTTAAGTGTTTAGGTTCTGGAAACTAGCTTATAATTAATTGTACAGTACAGCGAGTCCTCCCAAAGCACAAACAAAGAGAGTACAGTGTCTGGAGGAGGGGAGTTAATCATTGAAGAGACCCCCCAGCAGAGGGAAGAGCTGCAGCAAGCCAAGGCTGTGCAAGGATAGGAACCGGGGAGGGAAAACAACACTGGGACACGGTATGTGACATCAAGGTTCCACTGACAACACATAGATCCAAAGTTACAAGTCCAGATGGTGACATCAGGGGCAGATGATGCCTCTCTCCTGTGTACACACACTCGGAGGCCAACGCATCACATTTGCAATCAATATTTTCTCCCACGTCTGCAGAAACAGCCTCCTGGTGAAATCATTTCCTTCGAGCAAGGATCTGAGCAGAAACACCCCAAGGACAGCAAAGACTGAAGAGCCAGGGCTAGGAAGCATCTCTGGTCAAGCTTACTGATAGATGTCAATTCCTTACAGTACCAGACATGGCATTTCGTGGGGGGTTAGCACGCAGTTACAGGTGGGTTTACAAACCCAGTGCCACACCAGTCAAGAGGCTTCTCCCAAGGTCACATCCAGCCAGTGGCAGAGAACAAAAGCTCTGTGTGTATGTGTGTGTCCCACTTTCTTTAAACACCAACACACACTGTTTGCTCACGGCGGTTTAGAATCCATCCCTGAGGCTGCAGGAGACTTTCAGATGGGTCATTAGAACACAGGTATCTGATCAAGCACAAACAAGTCATTGCAGCTTAGCAAGTTACTGTCCATCAGCTGAGCCACAGCGACTGCTGGATGCGGTATTAGCCGGCCTGAACTGCAAGGTAAAACCTATCTGCATAATCCCCGACACAAGAGCTTTACCCTGTGTTTTACTTTACAATCAGGGCAGGCTAAAATTACACAGTCACAACCTCCCAGCAGATGGGCACTTACTTCTTAAGCTGCAATAACTCCATTTTGCCACATCCTTATCCTCTAGGTATTCTCTGTTAGCCAGTTTTAAGGTTTCTATGCAGCAGAACTTGCCAGGGTCACGCAGGAAAGAGGAGATTGGGATCAGCTTTCAGAGAAAGCTTCATTTGCAGGTGAGAACAGATGGACTTTCCATTACTGAGGGACCACTGTTCCCTGCGAGGTACCACGGATTCCCAGCCCTGTGCTGTCAGGGTTTTCATCACAGCCTCCTGCAGCTCCCAGTCTCTGCCCTCCTTCAACCCCTGTGCACAAAAGCCCTCCTCCAAACGCACACACTCCTCTTTCTGAAGAGGATGCACAGTGCTAACGGCGATAGGGATGAAGGCAAAAGTCCCTGGAGGTTTTCCAGCCTGACTCAAGCAGGGAGTGGCTTCTTCTTCCCAGCATGTAAAAAGCCACCCTGCCTCTTCCCACTCAAACCAGGCATTAATCCCCTCAATAACCTCAACCTGTTTGTCCCCATTTTACAGAGAAAGCTTACAGCAACAACCATGCCCTGTCAAATACTGGATCCTGCAAGTCATGCACTCCTGTATCCCTGCTGCAGCCCTTCCCTGTTATCCCAAGCTCCCACCACTTGCAGGGGTTATGCCTGCCTCCTTCTCAAGTCACACCCTTGGTTTTAAAGCACATATAGGCAGAGCTGACTGCACCATCTCCGGGAGATATGGACAACGTTCCCTTCCCATCAAACCTAAGGCAGATCTGCATTGTGCTAGGAGCCCAGCACTAAACTGAGCAGCTTTTGTTCAGCTCCCCCCAGACAAAGCCTCACCATTGCTTCTCCACCAATTGGGTGCACCCACCACCTCCCTGCTCTCACACCCCCGGGGGAAGTTCCCATCCTAACCCAGATTCCAGTGTCTCCCTGATGCTCTCCGCTCCCCAGGGACAGGCTTTACTCTCCTCTGGGCTGTGCCATTCGGATAATACAGCCAGTTACTCATCTGCTCGGAACACGCTGGTTTTTCCCCAGGCTTGCCAAATGACCAGACTTTGGAATATTCTGGGATCTATCTGTTCCTTTGCTGGTCTCCAGCGCAGGGGTGGGACTCGCCACTAACCTGCATCATCACTCCCTGCCATCTCAGTCGTGTTCCTTACAAGTTATCCAGGAACCTTCGAGACTCCCGTGTTCCCCTTTGCCCCTAAACAGCACATCCCCCCCCACCAACACCTTTGAACATCAGGTCTGAAAGCTTAAATCCCCCCCATTTCCTCTCTAGCAAGCACACGCGTGGCACCCTGCTCCCTTTTCCCCTCCCCAAATACACACACACCCCTCCAGGTACTCACACACTCACCCTTGCAGCACCCCTACTCCCCGCAGACCACACACTCCTCTACCATGTGCACCAGCCCCTGCATAACCCATTACCTTTGGAAAATGCTCTGCGGGTCCAACCACCAGTAGGATAGTTGGTCTCTTTTCAGTGGGATCAGTCCCTCTGTCCTGTGGCTTCCCCAACATCTTTGGCCCTTTCTCCCCGGGGCCTGGAAGTGGGGTGGTGTTTCTGGCCTCATCCTCTTTTTCATCTGCAGGACCTTGGCATACGGCCCTGGGAAAGAAGCTAGACAGAAAACGCCACAGGGTCTGCCGCATTGCTGCTCCAAAGAGCATCTTGGGCAGGGAAGCCCTGCGCGCTCAGGAGCTGCCCGCTGCCAAGGATGATGTGACTGCACTACCAAGCACCCCCGAGACGGGAATGAGCCCGGCAGCCAGCGGGAGCTTCAACCCAGCGACTCCACAGGCTCGGATTCTTTACAGCCCGCTCCTGCGGATGCTTCCTGCCTTTAGAAATCGCTGCTGCTGCGGTCGTGCCTGGCCTGACAAGCAGCTCATTGTACCAGAGCCTCTCGGACCTGATGGCAACAGACAAAGCACAAGACCCCTGGCACGGAGCAGCTTTGGCCGAGATGCTTAAGAGCGGAAAGCTCGAGATGAAGCTGCTCAGCGCTGCCAATTAACCCGCACGTCCCGGCTCATCCCGACGGCATCGGGGCTGAACAACCCAAGGCTGCATCCCCACTGCAGCAGTGCCCAGCCAATCCTGGCTCCCAACACTGCGGTGCTCCGGAGCAGCGCGCGCAGCCGGGCGGGAGCGCGCCCTCGGCGCAGGAGCAGCCCGCAGAGGAGCGCGCCCCGGCTCCAGGTACGGCCCCAGGTAGAGGCAGGGTGGGCAGCAGGGCAGCATCCAGGTGTTGGTGTTGTCTGTGTTACGGTACCTGACTCCAGAACTCGGGGTCTCCTTTGTGACAGCATAGATGGCTCTGTGGGTAGAAGGCGGCTTTCCCCAGCCCTGCCTGAATTAACCTCTCGCTGCTCCCTCTCTCCCTGGGCTATTATAGTCTCGTCCATCACTACAACAGCTCTTTGGTGCTGCATTGTGTTGCTGCTCTTGGGCTCGCAGTGCGACACAGGGACACGCTTCCACGGCGCGGATGGGTGTTCATCTAATACATGTGTTAAAACTAGTGCTGACGAGTCAAACAGGCGGAGTTCTGCTGAAGGAGCCTTTATCCATGCATGGGTAGGGTTAACCAGAGCAGGACTACATGTATGTATCAATGTATAAGCACAGAACACACGATATTCCATGAATTTCCACAGGAAACACCGTGATTCCCTCTGCTGCCACAGCAGCAATCGCTGGGCTCTTTTCCCATTTTAAAGCACCAACAGTTTACTCCGTAGTCCCAGACTCCTGCCTGCCTTTGGCATCTGCAGACAGAGGGCACTGCATGCCTCACTTCCCAAAGTATTACTCTTCCATAAGAGAACAGTCTGGTTTTTAACAGGGTAAATGAGTACAGGTCACAGCTTTCATCTCCTGAGGCTCCCAACCCACCATAGCACAGCAAGACCCATGGCAAGCAGAAAACCTCTTGTTTCCAGCCTTTAACTTCTGAGAGGGACAGACTATAGGGAACATTTGGTTTACAGACAGTAGATAGGGAAAATCCAACCCAAAACCTGGAAGTGCTGCAAGCCTGAAGCAGCCAATTTGCAATGAACACACTGAACATCACACGTGGGAGCTTGGGGATGCTGAATTCCTTTAACCAAACTTAATGGAAAGAGACAAGTCCATAGAAGACAGCACCTTATAAAAGAATTCTTCTGCAATTACACTTCAGAATTCCTTAAGAGGAAAACGCTCTTTAATCACAAGGTCTCCATACAGAACACGCAGTTCTTTACCTTAAAACAGGACACATACTAAACCAGAACAGATAAAAATGCACAGAATTCCAAGGTGGTACCACTGGGGTGTGGGACAGCCCTGTCCCTTTCTGAGGAATGGCACCATGCAGATCCAGTGGGGATGCAGTCAGCTCAGGCAGAAGAGTAAGGAATTCTTGTCATGCCTCCAATACCCTGAGCTGCTGCCAGCATCACAACTGCAACGCAGGAATGGAGATGCTTTGTAAAATGCAGTGAATCAGATCCTTTTGGATGACATTTCTAACCAACTTCTATCGGCCTGAGGCTGTCGTTTCACAGGAAGCAGTGAACTGATCTCAAGCTTACACTGCTAAAGGGGTCATCTCACCCCCCCCAACATCAGCTCTGTGCTTACCCTGCTCTCATCCTCCTCCAAAACCTCATGAACCCAGCCACAAACTACAGAGCTCTCTGCTGGGTAACCATGTGATGCTACTCATGGATTGGGTCCAGAGCAATGTGACCACATGTGGAAAGGGCTGGCCCCACCACTCAGGGCTATAAGCCACCATATAGAAGGCAAAGCACCCTAAGTGGGACTTTAGATGTGTCCTTAGTGGTTTGGGCTGCCCCTCAAAGACTGATGTGACCTGAAACTCGCAGTTCTTCTGCATCACATTAGCTTCAGAGGTACATCCATGGCAGGGATTGCTTCTTCCTTTGTTCATGCAGAGATTCCACAGTAAAACAATAATTTGTGCAAGAAATTACATGCCTGGGGTGCAATTAAAGCTGAAACTCAGCAATGCTTCCTTGGCCTTTGTCCTCACTAAAGGGAGCCTCAGAGGAATCCTGCCACCGCACTCGTCCACAGAGCTCCTGGAGAACAGGCTTTTCTAATCATATTTAGGAAGGGAAAAAAAGGCATTTCTTTTATCAAGTGGGGAATTTTATTAGGTCAGAATAATAAACCTGGTAACAGCAAGATGATTATAGCTGGAGGCAAGACAGCTGCTCTCCTACAGGGAATTTATAGGCAAGAATTACCCTACAACACCACCACGAAGCCAATCATTCATACATAAGAAAAGATGCAGTAAATACTGAGAGTGCTCTGTCTGAATGGTGACAGAGGAACAGGATTCATGAACACCTAGGCCCCAGTGAAACAGCTTTCCCAGCCTAGGCTTCCTTAGGAGACAAACAGCCCTACAATTCCATGAACAGAGCTGTTTCCATGAATAGAGCCCAGGAGAAAAACCTCAGGACTGAGCTAAAAGCTGCCTCTCTGCCAGCACACCAGTCACTGGGGACAAAAGGCAACTGGTCTCAGAGTCCTACACCACCAAACTGGGTAGTGATTACACACCCAGAGGAGAGGCCAACAATAGTCATGTAATGTATCCAAAAGGAGACAAAAATCTATGATTTCTATGATTCTATGGAAAGAGAAAGGGAAGAGAAAGAGAGTGATGTGTTTTGCTTCACTAAAAGTCTTTTCCTCACTGCAATCTGTCAGAGGGAGGCTCTGATTTAAGCTGTGTCTTGTATCCTCCACATCATACAGGCCACATCTTAGTGCTTGCTAAGCCTAAAACTCCAGCCTTCAGGCAGACGCTTGCCTTTTCCAGCCTGGTAGCACCAGGCACAAGTTGAGGTTGAGACCATTTGCTCCTAGGAGACTTGAGAGTAAAAGCACAGCTTTTTCCAGCAGGAATGTGAGGCTCCCAGCAGAGGACAAGCTAACATGTAAAAAATGCAAGAGGGAGGGCAGGAAGAAAGGGGGAGAGGGAAGAGAGCTGTGCTCAGAGCAATGCAATGACCCTTCTTCAGCACAGGAAAAGCTGCCTCCAGCTCCTTGGGTGACCCCAGAGGAATCAACAGTGACTCATCTTCCTTTGGGAGATGGCCTAGAAGCACCCTAAGGAGGAGGAGTGCTCCTTACACATGTGCCAGCCAGAGATAGCACCCAGCCCGCCAGGGCTCTCCCAGGTACCTCTTATCTTTCCAAATGCAGTTTCTAGAAGACTGAAGCATTAAGTGCTTCCCACTCTTTACAAAGCTGAAGTTAACTCTCAAGTATTTTTTGCACCACACCATTAAGTCTAAACACCCTGGCCATTGCTGCTTAAATAATTAAGCCGTGCAGTGACATCCAGCTCCGTTAATGTACTAAGGTGACAGAGCACGGTTCAGTGAACACTGCCCAGAACCCCAGGTCATCTCCTCACAGGAACCCTGGCACAAGGGATGAGCTGTGCTAGTTGAGCTATTAAGGCAAGCAGGGGGCCAGTGCCAAATACAGATAAGGAGAGAGCTGGCCAGGGAGGGGGAAACATGCAACCATTGCCTAAAGTAGAGTTCCACTGAGGTCACACTGCATCACATGGAGAGCCAGGGACTGACCAAGAGAAAGGACATCCTTAGAACTCACAAACTACAGAACAGCTTCTCGCTGCACTAGAAAGTTAACCAAGAAAATAGTGAGTAAGAGAATAGGCAGCTGGGGCTTGTTCTCACACAGCCCCTGTCCTCCTTAGGCTGAAGGATGTACGTTCACATTCCAAAGAGCTTTGCCTTTCCAAGCAACTCATGATGTAAAAATGTCAGCAATTTCTCTTACAGCAGAATTCAGTGTAAGCCACTAAGAGCCAGGAGCTCCCCCACGGCTCATCACATGGGACTTGGAACAGCTCTAGCATCTCCACGTTGACACCAGTTATCTCTGCTATGCTCCTCTACCCGAGACAAAGTCTGGGGCATCATTAAAGCATACTCATGTCCCACACTGAGAGGGGCAAATACAGCAACAGGACATGAGCAAGAACAAAGATCCACTTACCATTTGATGCTGTAAGTAGGTCTGTCTCCCCCCTCTCCTCCCAACACCGTATCATGTTAGACTATACCCAAGAGAGCATTGAATTGCAGCGTCACTGCCTCGCAGGGCTCTCCAACAGGAGACCAAGTCCTTATTATGGCTTTGATGTCATTTTAGTAACACTCAACAGCTATTTAAGGGTTCTGCTTTCTATTCAGGCAGATTATGTTAAAATATGAAAAGAAGCAGTAATTATACTGAACTCCTTGGTTTTCTTACCTGCCTTTATCTCAGTAATGATCCAATGTGGACGAGGAGAATGAGACATTTTCCACTACATACCAAGGTATCTACTACTCCTGGTCACTAAATAATGCCCCACAGAACAAAGGATCATAGGATTGTTTGGTTGGAAGGACTTTAAGATCATTCAGTTCCAACCCTCTGCCATGGGCAGGGACACCTCACACTAGACCATGTCACCCAAGGCCCTGTCCAAACGTGTTGAAAGACCAAACCCTGCTGCATATTCCACACAGGCACAATCAGTTGCTTTGGGTCAGTTGTATCATTTCTTTTCACTCGGGCTCCAGGGATCCTACAGGCATTCACTTCACTGGAGAGCTGGGAATTCACACCATCCTGCAGGAAACATTACACTGCAAGGCCGGTGCCATACAGGATTCCATTCTGCACCAGAGGCTCTCGCACCACTCAACATTTAAAATCGCTATGTCAAGCCAAAGCTGTCTTTGACGTCTCACAAAGGTCAGCCAACATCCTCCATTCGTTATCACTCTGCAAATAGGACAAAGGTCTCTGCTAACTCAACCTGAGAACCACCAGGCTCTTCCAGCTTGCTCCCAGGTGAGGACAAAAACCATCCTGGATGGATGGATGTCCAAGATTGCATCTCTCAAGAGTTACATACCTGGTCCTGTATGTACATGAACGTAAAGCATCGCTTGCCTAATGCACTGTTGTTTGTTTATATGCAAGGTAAGCTTATGCAA